CTGTAATTCACTGCGGCATGTGGGCCAAGCAAAGCCTGATTGTGTGGGCCAGAGATATTTTGCTATGTGGGATCTTTTAAAAACAAAAAATGCTTGCAGGGATATACAGTTAGGTCCATAAATATTGGGACATCAACACAATTCTACCATTGTTGGCTCTATACACCAACACAATGGATTTGAAATGAAACTGCAGACTGTCAGCTTTAATTTAAGGGTATTTACATCCAAATCAGGTGAACATTGTAGGAATTACTAGAGTTTTCAAATGTGCCTCCCACTTGTTAAGGGTCCAAAAGTAATTGGACAGAATAATAATCGTAAACCAAACTTTTACTTTTTAATACTTGGTTGCAAATCCTTTGCAGTCAATAACAGCCTGGAACACATAGGCATCACCAGACGCTGGGTTTCATTCCTGATGGTGCTATGCCAGGCCTCTACAGCAACCGGCTTCAGTTCCTGCTTGTTCTTGGGGCATTTTCCTTTCAGTTTTGTATTCAGTAAAGTGGAATACAAGCTCAATCGGATTCAGGTCAGGTGATTGACCTGGCCATTACATAGCATTCCATTTCTTTCCCTTCAAAAAAAATCTTTGGTTGCTTTTGCAGTATGCTTTGGGTCATTCTCCATCTGCACTGTGAAGCACGTCTAATGAATTCTGAAGCATTTGGCTGCATATGACCAGAAAATATTGCCTGAAACACTTCAGAATTCTTTCTGCTGATTTTGTCAGCAGTCACATCATCAGTCAATACAAGAGATCCAAATCCATTGACAGCCAAACATGCCCAGGACATGTCACTACAACCACCATGCTTCACTGCTTAGAACAAGGGTGTCCAGGCTCGGTCCTGGAGGGCCGGTGTCATGCAGATTTTAGCTCCAACTTGCCTCAACACACCTGCAAGGATGTTTCTAGAATGCCTAGTTAGAGCTTGATTAGCTAGCCCAGGTGTGTCTGATTGGGGTTGGAACTAAACTTTCCAGGACACCGACCCTCCAGGACTGAGTTTGGACATGCCTGGCTTAGAATCATGAGCAGTTCCCTTCCATCTCCATACTCTTCTCTTCCCATCACTCTGGTACAAGTTAATCTTGATCTCATCTGTCCATAGGACGTTGTACCAGCACTGTGAAGGCTGTTTTAGAACTCTAATCTGGCCTTCCTGTTTTTGAGGCTCACCAATGGTTTACATCTTGTGGTGAACCCTCTGTATTCACTCTGGTGTAGTCTTCTCTTGATTGCTGACTCTGACACATATACACCTACCTCCTGGAGAGTGTTTTGATCTGGCCAACTGTTGTGAAGGGGTGTTTTCTTTACCAGAGAAAGAATTTGTTGGTCATCCACCAGTTGTTTCTGTGGTCTTCCGGGTCTTTTGGTGTTGCTGAGCTCACTGGTGCGTTCCTTATTTTTAAGAATGTTCCAGACAGTTGTTTTGGCCACATCTGATGTTTCTGCTCTCTCTGGTTTGTTTTGTTTTTTTTTCAAAAAAAGCCTAACAATGGCTTGCTTGACTTATTGTGACAGCTCTATAAATTTCATGTTGAAAGTTGACAGTAACAGATTCCAAAGGCAAATAGCACACTGGAAATGAACTATGGACCTTGTATCTGCTCATTAATTGTAATTGGGATAATGTTGGAATAACACACACCTGGCCATTGAACAGCTTAGAAGCCAATTGTCCAATTACTTTTGGACCCTTAACAAGTGGGAGGCACATATGCAAACTGTTGTAGTTCCTACACCGTTCACCTGATTTGGATGTAAATACCCTCAAATTAAAGCTGACAATCTGCAGTTAAAGCACATGTTCATTTCATTTCAAATCCTTTGTGTTTGTGTATAGATACAAAAATGTTAGCATTGTGTCTATGTATTTATTTTATTATTTTTATTAATTATTTCTGTAATTATCTGCCCTAGGCGGACTCATTTCAAAGAACGTCCACGCATGTTGCCAGAAAGATGTGGTGGAGAAACACCAAGATGATGATTATAATTGGAGTGGTTGTCGTTGCCATCATTGTGTTAATCATTGTGTTAGCCACGCAAGTAAAGTAAAAACCATCCATTTCAATTCATTTGTATTCATAAAGCACATGTACACACACACACACTAAAAATGAACCGCTTTTTTTTAAGACTAAGAATGTAACGTTTGGTCCGGGTAGATTTATGTGTAGATACATTGCATATTAGTTTGTTGTATTGATATTCCCTGTCAGAATCTATTCAAATATTGTGTGAATATGTTAGGCCTTGTACACAATAGTTTCCAAAAATCATATCTTTCTAAAGATATTGCGTAATTGAGCTTGAAATGTGCAACTTGTATGTATGAAATGCGACAAATGTTATACGTTAAACGTGATAATGCTCAAATTATAATAAAAATATGCAGAACGACTACTGATTCTGCTTCCATCTCTGTTTCTTGATAAGCTGTAGTTTACCTTTTTGACAATGTTTTTGTATTCTACAGTTCAGAGTTTTCCTATTCACAAAGATATCTTGTGATAGTTTCAAACTTGTACTACAAGACTATTGACTGATTCTAATCGGTGTGTTATTACTAGGGAATCGCAGCTAAGGTAGTTCCAGGCAGATTTTGAACATTTTACAGATCAAAATTCATTTTCTTTCTGGCTTAGTCCTTTTATTGATCTAGGATCGCCACAGCGGAATGAACAGCCAACTTATCCAGCATATGTTTTATGCAGTGTATGCCCTTCCAGCTGCAACTCTTCACTGAGAAACATCTATACACACTTATTTACACACACATTACTGACAATTTAGCAACCTATACCACATGTCTCTGGACTTGTGGGGAAACTGGAGCACCCGGAGGAAACTCACGCCAACACGGGGAGAACATGCAAACTCCACACAGAAATGCCAACTGACCAAGCCGGGGCTCGAATCGACGACCTTTTTGCTGTGAGGCGATTGTGCTACCCCCTTTAAAGTCAAATCCTTGTGATGTCTTTGTCAAGAGGATGTATGACCTATAATAGATATAATGTTCTATACTGGAGGTACTGATTGGCATGTATGTATATTGTAAAGGGAAATGTAAGATACACATTTAAAGGAACAGATCACCTAAAATGGAGTTCACACTGAAAGCAATATATTCGATCATACTTACTATAAACATATTGAAAACCCTCATTTCAGTCAAAGCTCTTCATATTATTATACTAAAAATAGACGAAAATCATTTTCTCTAATATTTTACTAAAGCAAAACTACTCACGTGTGGATGAACTATTCCTATTGGACACCTCAATGTCAAAACTAAATCGATTTGATCAAACCCTCACATCCATTTGACATCCACACATTGACGCTCTTTTGACCACTAAAATAACCACACAATACATATTCAAAGAACAGTTTTATTCATCTGAATGCTTTACTTCCAGACTTAAGCCGGAGCTTGTGAAATTCTGTCGTACGGTGCTGCGAAAAGGGGCGGGAATAAACAAGATGATTAGACATTTAAAAAGCGAGTGATTGGTCCATATTTTAAATTCCTGTCCAGATAGGTCATGTTTTGATCTTTGATTGGTCTCACGCAGTCATGTGATGCGCTTTCACAGGTCAGACTTCACCAAGCTTGAACTTTCCAACGCAGCGATTTGCGAAACGAGGCACAAGCTTGCGTTTCCGATCTAACGCATTCGTATGAATGGAAGTCTTTGTGGAGAAAAGTCCAGTGTGACCGCAGCTTTACACTGATTTCATATTGCTATAATGTAACGTAAACTTCCCTAACGTAAAAATAATATCAATCAGACACTTATTATTGGCGTTAACCAGAAAACCGATCACAAATTGATTACAGGACAGTCCCAAAAATTTGATTTGTGGCTGACACCAATGTTAAATGCTAATTTGATATCAAGGTAGTCAACTGACATCAAATCGATTTGCATTTTTGACGTTTTTTTATGTCGTTATACACCGAGGTGAATCATTTGTCAAGAAACACCAGGCTTAAGGTTCATAGACTTTATTTAGTTGCATTTGTTTTCAATGGTTGACATGACTGTAGCGAATTACTAAAATGTAAAATGAATATTAGACGGCCTACGCAATAAATTAATAAACCCTCCTTTCAGTCAAAGCTCTTCATATTATTATACTGAAAATAGACGAAAGTCATTTTCTTTAATATTTTACTTTAGAAAAACTACTCACTAGTGGATGAACTATTCCTATTGGACACCTTGATTTTAAAACAACATCGACATCAAAAAAACAAATCGATTTGATCAAACCCTGACATCTATTTGACATCCACACATTGACGCTCTTTTGACCACAAAAATAACCACACAATACATATTCAAAGAACAGTTTTATTCATCTGTGAGCCTCACTTCCAGGCTTAAGCTGCAGTCATACTAAAGTTTGAGCTTGTGAAATTCTGTCGTACGGCGCTGCAAAAAGGGGCGGGATTAAACAAGATTAGACATTTAAAAAGCGAGTGATTGGTCCATATTTTAAATTCCTGTCCAGATAGGTCATGTTTTGATCTTTGATTGGTCTCATGCAGTCATGTGATGCGCTTTCGCAGGTCAGACTGCACTAAGCTTGAACTTTCCAACTCAACGATCTGCGAAACTTGATAAACGAGCTTGCGTTTCTGGTCTGACGCATTCACGTGTGTATGAATGGAAGTCTATGTGGAGAAAAGTCCAGTATGAACGCAGCTTTACACTGATTTTGTATTGCTATAATGTAACGTAAACTTCCCTAACATAAAAATGACATCAATTAGACATCTATCATTGGCGTCAACCAGAAAATAGCTCACAAATTGATTACAGGACAGTCCAAAAAATTTGATTTGTGGCTGACACCAATGTTACATGCGAATTTGATATCAAGGTAGTCAACTGACATCAAATCGATTTGCATTTTTGACGTTTTTTTGTGTCGTTATACATAGAGGTGAATCATTTGTCAAGAAACACCAGGCTTAAGGTTCATAGACTTTATTTAGTTGCATTTGTTTTCAATGGTTTACATGACTGTAGCGAAATACTGCAATGAGAAATGAATATTAGACGGCCTACGCAATAAACTAATAGATCTGCATACGAATAATTCGTTTTTTTGTGGTTCATTGTACTCAACACAGCAGGAAATATGATTATAAACATACATATTACCAACAAACGTAAACGCAAAAAAAAAAAAACGAAATTCAAGACACTTCACAATGCGAAATAACACTTAAAATAAGTTTAGTGTGTGCTTTTCTTATATATATTAATATCTGAACACAACTGATGATTTAATTGGCGACCAAAGTGTAGTACTGTCGACATCTCGCCCTTTCGTTTTCTCCTCTCTGGTTTGTCTTTCGATTCTCCGTTCCGTCTGAAAAACAAACAAGAAGATGTGAATTACGCTTCACGAAGACGCCGAGGCATCAAATGTAAAGGAATCCCAATTGATTAATAATAAAGAGACAAGAATGTGACTTTGCAATAAATAGTAAATACAATATCGTAACATTTAAAATGCAAAACCTTCGATTAAAACACAAAAGGAAAACATTACAAGCATAAACAATACGAGCAAGGTTAAAAAAAGAGAATGTATGTTAGATGAAATTTTTTCCACCGCTGTCAGTAGAAAAATCACACAATAAATACAAAATATTATTCAAATCAATAAATAAAGCACTTCTCCAGCACAGCGGCGTCCAAGTACGGCTTTTAGGATTACAGGATATTACAGCTACGCGAGCTACAAATAAAGAAAAGCAAGCATTACAGTTAAGATTAGAAGTGCATATTAACAACTGGAAAGTCCAGAGAAAGCCGTACCCTTCAAAAAGTCAACAGTTAAGCTTTATTCCGTCATATATTACCATTACTTGATGGTGCCTGTAAAAAATGGCATTACATTATGATTAAAATTACATTAGACCGATCCCGAAGAGATTTAAAAAGAGCAAACAAATCGAAGATAAAAGCTTGAAGTGTCCTTTTTAGGTTTTGCTGTAGTTGCTGTTGTTTTTATAAGTCATATACAGGATGTTGGAAGACCATACCAAACGGGAGCATTCGAGAGCGTACGCCTCTCGTACCCTGAGACAATCGGGATGTCAGCTCTTGGCCTGCAAGGAAGTCCCCGCTGGCAGGTACAAACAAGGTATATGTCAGAGTTAGGAGACAACATTCTTGCCCTGTTCTTGTTTTCTTGCAAATCCAAATCTTGTAAATCTGGTAGCCATTTAGCTGTACCTGTTAAATTTACAGTTAAAAACCAAACAGCCCAAAAGCCAGCTGTTACATTACTGCCAAAAGTCTCTATGTTACCACTACTGTAAAGCACTTCAGGGTGCTGTGAAACTTTCGAGAAAAACAAAAAAATAAGTTATGTATACATTACGGTTATTCGATCAAATGGGCATTTTCTAAAGAGGCGTCGGGTGTTGAGCGACGCGACACTTACCTGAGCGCTTTTTCGCTTGGTGGCGGGAGTTTTAACGTTAATACGGCTTGTAGCTGTTTTGATGGCCGCCTCGTCTCTGGGATTTGCCGTAGCCGCTCTGCTGATCTACAGTTAGGAGAACAAAACACAAACAACGCAGATGTCTGTGGTTAAACGGGTCGGTGGACGTTTGCTCCAGAAGGTGGAAAACAGAACACAGCCTCCGAATGAAATTGCGGTTGCAATTTTGGAGCCAAATTCGTAATACTTGCGTGAAATATGTAAACGTTTAAGCCCAAAGTATACTTCCGGTTTTTATTTGTATGCGAGGATGCATTGTGCGACATAAGTTTCGAATTGTTCTTATATACATACAATGTACACGCAACAGCTCGCATGCGTTTCGTATTGTTTTGCTTTTCTCAAGTGTCAACGTTGAACCAGGCTATTTTTTCGAAAGACAAACAACTTCTGAAGACGACAAAAACAAACAAAAAAAATCTGTCATTTGTCGTTCTCGCGAGCTTGCCTTTGAAAGACATCTTTTAGGCCAATTTATACTTCTGCGTCAAGTGCACGTGGCAGGTTCGGTGTAGCTTTTCACAACTTTCAAAAAGTGTAACACATTGTGACAATGTGGAGCGCAAGATCTGTAATTGGTCAACTTTGTGATGAATGTGGACTAGGCCGTATCGAGGCGTATCGAGTGTTTAATGGATGGATATTTTAGTTTTTTTTTTGTTTATTTTAAACACACAACAATTGTTTACGACTACAGTTGTTGAACACTTGCCTGTTCCCGCCTTTTTCTTCATTGAATGAATGCGAGTTGAGATACTTCTACAATTACACATTTCTGACGTAAAACCAAACAACCTTGACACTGTGGAACACAGAAATCCTAGTTAGTGTTTTGCAAGTGTTATTGTTAGAGACACACTGACAGAAGTCAGAAGTATAAATGCTGACAGCACGTAGGGTATGCCGTTGAAGTCTGATTTATACCTCTGAGTGCATACAGATCTAAACTCCTTGACGTGACTGACGCCAACCCTGATGTGCCCCTCTCTAAAAATATAACTACACGTCACGAAGACGTGTATCGCAATCATGGCTTTGTATTGTTCACGAGTGTTTGAAGGTGTTCGCCCAATAGACTTCCATTCATGCGTATGTGAAGCTTCTTTTGGCATTTCTATACGTTTCAAGCTTGGTGACTTGCGAAATCGCATCATGTGACTACGTGAGACCAATAGAAGATCAAAACAAGACCTCTAAGACAGAAATTTTAAATATAAAGCAAATGCTCAATTTATTTTTCTTTTACGTCTAATAATCTTGTTTAATCCCAACCCTTTTCGCAGTACCGTAAGACGTACGTATGCTCAAACTCTAGTGTGACTGCAGATTTACGAGTATTGAGTCCCGTGGAAGAGCTTTTGTTTGTTTTCTTTATGATTAAAGTTGTTGCACGTCCATCGGTTCCTGCCTCTGAATAAGCGAGTTTAAGCTACTTTTACAGTAAGATAGCATAACAGGTATTTTCGGTGTTAACAAAACGCCCATGAAGAAACTCGAAGATCATAGAAACTCCACTGCCAGCTAGCATTTAGGAAGTGTAAGAGAAAAACAAACAGAACGCAGACATATAAATGCACGGCTACACGCAAGGCATGCGCCGCGTGTTACGGCGATCACTCAACGAACAAATATAATTCAGCCTTTACTCAACGCAGAAGTATAAACTGTGGACATGCTCACATTAAAAATGTACAATCGCATTGATAACAACTCTCCAAAATACCGAACGAAGTATACTTGGGCTTAAATCGTATTCCAAATACTGTATTCTGAAAATATGGTAAGAGACAAGGATTTGTGGAGTAAATGGGTGAATGTTTGAAAACTGTTTATTATTTTCTAAAAACGACCACTGTCCAGCGGTTGTTTTTTGCATGGCCTACAGATTTACATGTCCGATGGATTCAAAGGCACTTTGACAAATGTGTTTTGAAGCTAAGACATCCCTTTCTATATTTAGCACCATAGTTATTATAATACATATGTACAATATAGCTTTGTGCAAGCAAGCCTTCCCTGTAAGACAAAAAGCAATTGCAGCAAGGTTTCTAGAGTTTTCTCTCGGAAGCGTAAGGCATGTATGATACAAGCATGTGCATTCTGCTCTCAGATAATTTAGTGCACAATTGTCATAGTCCGGGTCGAGTACCGACAATCCATGAAACAATATATCCTTAGTTTTTTCATCTGTGCGTTCACAAACAGTATTACATACTGCTGTAGTCACCATATCCGTAGTAGTTGTTGTAACCCGAGTAATCATAGCCCCCGTATCCACCGTAGCCTTGATTGTTGTAGCCATAGTTCCCGTAATTTCCATATCCTTGATTCCAGTAATTTCCGTATCCCTGGTTCCAATTTTGATTGGGACCTGTAACAGACACCAAACGGACATCACTATTAATAATGGCTCAAGTGTGACTGCAAAGGACAATGCAAAAATATACATATACACTCCTAAAAAGGAAGTTTACAAACACAGCGATGTCGTAGATGAGCTGTTTTTCGATTCGATTTTCGATTATAAATAATTAATTAATAACAAATTAATTCTTTGTAGCCTACCGTTTAAACTACCTGACCTGCATGGTCTTTGTTTTACTCATAAACAAATCATACAGTAAATGAATAAAGGCAAGTTACACACATAATTACCACCTGTCAATCACTTTTTCTGCGGGACTCGTGAATAGGCAGTGATCTGTGTCGTTATAATGGCGTCGGTAAAAAAGATGCACGACCAACAGGAACCAGCCAACAGTATCTGAGGTGTTCGCTAAAATGACTAAGTACAAGTGTGAAAGTAAAAGATTGAAGCAGTCTACTGACCCGCTGACTGCCGGGACCCGCTGTCTTGAGCGCATGACTGTGTGTGCGTATGTGTCTGTGTGTGAATGAGTGTGTGTGGTCACGTGATGTGCATTTTCAGTGGTAGTGAGGAAGGAGGGCTGCTCAGAAATGCTACACGTCAGTGTGGATGTGGATCGTTGTTGTTCTAAAATGCCAGCGGATTTGCAACGGGGGCGGGGCGGTGGATCGCGATGCGCCCATCGTCTATCGGCCCAACCCTAATACGTACATAGCAGAGCTTGCAAACCGTGTTTTTTTTTTGTCGACAAAATCCAAAATACTTCCACACCGGCGACTTCATTGAAAGAGGAGAGGGTTTAAGCTCTGTCGACGGGTCTCCTACGTCTGCAGTTCAACAAGCACTTTAACGAGCGTGTTTTTTTTTCCCGCTTGGCAAGCCAAGCTGACATGACATGGGGGCGTGGCAGCATCGACGATTCCATTTTTTGATTCGATAATCGAAATTGAGCATAAATTTAGATCGATTTTGATTTACCCTTATTATATATGATCATAAATTGACAGTGGTGTACAGTCCATGATGTTGGACAGCAAAAATTTTACTAAATGCATTTGCGAAATAATCTCTTTCGAAATTATGTAACAGTTGAAATTGTCACTGTCTAGTTATTTTCGAATGCTACTTCAGCAACTTCTGTACTAAGGGCTGTTAGCACTTGCTACTTAATGCGTTTTCTCCCAACTGATAGCCATTAGATTGGTTAATGATCCCATTACGTTTACAAATACAATCGCAGCCTTTTTTCTGGTGAATGATGTCAGAATTTAACGGTATTTTGGAATGGATGTGTGAACTATCTTTTCCGGACAAATTCCGTAACATCCTTGCCTGTGTGAAAAGTGCTTTTTTGAATGTACCAGTAAAGTTGTTGCGGTAATTTTCCGGATATTTAACGGTATCGCTGTTAATGATTGGTTGATGTTCGAATTTACTCTTGGCCACACAAAAGCTTTTTATTTAGCTAATTATAAAAATAAATTAATATACAGAGCGGCATCAGACCAGGAGACAGAATTTATGGGGGTTTTCCATTGCATGCTACAGCTAGGTTCACTTTTATGGGTTTTTCCACAGCATACAACACCCAGTATCTGATTAATTAGTCCCTTTCACACATACAGACCTTCCCGGATAATTACCGGCAATTTTACGGAAAGGTCTGTATGTGTGAACAGGCCCTTTTTAAAAAAACACCTGTAAATTGGTTCCTGCAATTTTCCTGGAAAAACAGTAGCCCCTTTCACACAGTGATACCAGCAAGTGTTTTGATTGTTTCCGATTGTGTATTCATGACTATACACAAAAAGTAGAATAATTTAATGTGAAAATGTTAGTTTGCAACATCAAGCCGATGAACGGAAATAAATGAGACCGGAAGTCTTAAGCCAAAAAAATTCAAACAACTGCGCCCGCTCGCATGTGAAGGATATGGTCAATAGAGTCAACTTGATTTCAGCTCTCCTCGACGCACACACCAGCAAAGACACAGCTCCCATTGAAAATGAATGACTTCCGGCTACTTTGAATGCAGTTATTTAATACCATCATGAACATTACTGAAGCACATCAAGGAGGCACATTAGCGACTTTAGCCACCAGCCAGGGTGACCAACAGCTACAAATTTACTGCTACTGTGAATGAGGTTTAACATCTGATTCATACGGGGCTTCAGTGTCAACGCTTGACAGAGGGTGTGTCTGAAGTTGGGGCTGACACGATCGTCATAGCAGCGTCAGAAAATAAAATTAGTCCGCAATCGGCTACTGTTTAAGCTGGTATATTTGCATAAAGCAATCTGATTGGCTGACACAAAGGTCCAAATTCTGCAGTGAGCACGGATTCACAATGCAGTTCGGAAACGTCTGACATCACCCATTAAAAGTGAATAGGAAGCGTCCATGTGAATGGGGCGTAAGGCAACTAATCTTTTCACGACCTGACGGCTAACTGCTCAGAGAAAACGCAATAGTATAGAGAACAAAAAGTGTGATGCGCACCTCCTCTGCCTCTCCCTCTGGAAGTGTATCCTCCTCTTCCACCCCACTGCTGCTGCTGCTGGTACTGCTCCTTCGACATCGCCACCTTCACCTCACACTGCATACACAAGCACACACACATTACACCATATATATTCACAATGAGCATTTCAACACAGATTCTAAAATAATAATAAATGATTTAGTTTAAAGATGCCTTAATAGCATATAGATATAGATATGTGGATCATTTAGCACTTTCAGCTTTTCCAGCATTATAAGATGTAAAAACAGATCTGTTAAAGAGCCCCTATTCTGGGTTTTTGAAAATGATCTTCCATGTAGTGCGTAACACATCTCAAGTGACGTGAAATATGCAGCTTAGGCTTAAATCTGAAAGTGCACAGTGTTTAAAACTATTGATTCATCTATGAAAGAGTCGACTCAAAATTGCTTCATATAAAGCGTCTTAATAACGAGTCTTTAGCCGTTTCGGTGTGACGTTGAGACGAAACTTAAGCCCCGCCCAATTGTTGCGCGCGCAAACCCGGAAAAATTGATAAACACTGTAGAAGATCCAGGTGGAATCAAGTCGTGTAAACATTGTGCTCAGCTGGACATTATTGGAAGTGTGAGAGGAACGTTAGTGGTATTTTCTCGACCTAAAAATGAAACTGTGAAGAGTCAGTGGTTGAGATTTATTTTTGCAAAAATACCTCAGCATTATAGCCCCAACCTTGTGCTGTGTTTCCGTCATTTTTCTGACAAATGCTTCTGGAATCAACATGCTTACAACGGGGGATTTGTCAACCGTTTGTTAAGGAAGGATCAGAAAAGTCTATTGATGTATAAGACTTTGTCAGAGCTCGCCAGGAACTTTACAGTAGACAGTTCATGGACCAGTTTCTTTCTCCATTTCACAAGTGTAAGTACGTGCAATTAAAATAGTTGCCTCCTTGTTTTCTCTAGCTAGCAAATGATGTATTTAATTATGTTTTGTTACATGAAATCGCTTGTAGTGTATTTGGTTAACTCTTAATGTTCTCATATCGCGTCTAATACCGCATTGAAAACATGACGCGTGCTGCTTTGTTTACGGCTTTAAATGCGTTTGTGAGCTAGCATTCTACTGACGTTTGTCATTGCTATGGCCACCATCAGCTGTAATTACAGGAGTTTTCCAGGATTAATAACAAAACGGTAGGGTGGTGGGAGATGGGTCTGAAATACGAAAGACTCCCCGGAAAAACAGGCATGTTGGAAAGTATGCTCAGACATACACTATGCACTGACTACTTCAATATTGTTGATAAGCCGTAATGGGCAATTCACTCTGTCTAGCGCTGAAGGCTGTCGACCAATTGCAACAGACTGTCATTGGCCCAATCAGCGCAGGGGAGGGGAGGGGTTTGGGAACAAATGAATCACTGAACAGATCGTATGGGAGTCGCTGGAATAATTAGGTAAAAATAAATGCACATTATAAGACAATGAAAGTGTTTTTTGTCCTTGCATGCATATCAAACTGTTGTTGTAGACCACCAAAACCAAAACATGAGCCTTTATAATGTATAATAGGAGCTAATAAAACAGAATAGTTTAATGAAATCAAGCATATTCATTTCCATATTCCCCCACTGCATTATCAAAACTATATACATTTCAAAATGGTCTTATAATACACAAAAGCAGTCAGGAATAAACCTAAAACAATTGTTGTCTGCCACTTAAATGGATTAATTTCTTCTGACAAATAGGCTTTAATTAAAACTTGACTGCCAAATGCAGTAAAAACGCACAAATTAATTTGAAATCCCTGCTAACAGATTTAAAAAAATGTGCCACATGGTTAAGAAAACTGCAACACACATAATGCACTAAGCATGATGCCATGCTTACTACTTAATAGGCCTGATCAGAGATTCAAATACTCCTTTGCTTTAGCAAACTCTCAGTCACAGTGGTATCAATAGTAAAGTCTCCGTTTCAGACTAAACAATCACAAGGTTTAAGGTCAAACAAAGGTGTGGAAAACTATGTGGTTCCAACCAAATTTTTGTGTAAGAAACGCCATTTACAATGTTCAAATTAAGTCATCATTGAACTAAAACAAAGGAACAAATAACAATTAATCTTATGGAAACAAATTTTTAAAGGACTGGTTCACTTAAAAATGAAGAAATGACTCTCAAGTGGTTCCAAACCAGCTTGTGTTTGTTTTTTCTGCTAAACACTAAAGTAAATAGTCTGAAGAAAGCTGAAAACCTTTTGGTTACAGGTTTTCAGCTCTCTTCAGAATATATAGCTTGTATTTAATAGAGGACAGAAACTTAAACAGGCTTACAACAAGTGCAGGATGAGTAAACGACGATTTTCATTAACTATTCCTTTAACGCAGGGGTGTCAAACTCAATTCCTGGAGGGCTGAAGCCCTGCACAGTTTAGTTCCAACCCTGCTCCAACACACTTACCTGTAGGTTTCAAACAAGCCTGAAGGACTCAATTAGTTTGATCAGGTGTGTTTAATTAGGGTTGAAACTAAACTGTGCAGAGCTGCGGCCCTTTTGGAACTGAGTTTGACACCTGTGCTTTAACGTGTTAAATTCTGTAGATTTTAATATATTTGTTTAAAAAAAAGACTTCTTAACGTTGTCTTAATCAGATTTTGAAAGTCTATTTTAATGTGTGTAAATATATCTAAAAGTAGATTTCATTTTAATGATGAGAAACTGCGGTTGCTGTAAAATAACAAACCAACAACTGTTATTACAGACACGCTCAGATCCAAAAGTGCTATTAAACCGTACCTTGCTTAACCCAATGTTGTGGTACTTCTTCTCCATGATTTTCTTTACCGGCTCCTCCTCTTTAAATGTTATAAAACAAAATCCACGTCTTTTGTTAGTTTTATTCTCCATTGGCAGCTCAATGGATTCCACCTGGAGGGTAAAAAAAAAAAGATTAAATGCAAATTGCTGTAGGATTTTCTCTAGTTTTATATAAACGTCCTATTAACTCCATACCTCTCCATAGGCATCAAAGTACTCTCTAATCTTCTCCTCTGGGGTATCTGGAGAAAGTCCTCCCACGAATATCTTCTTCACAGGCTCTTTAGTCTTCATGGCCTTTGCTTTTTTAGGATCAATCACTTTTCCGTTCAGTTTGTGCTCCTTTTGAGTGATCACCTAGGATTATTTCGAGTCAGGATTTCAATTATTCAGTCAAGACCATAACAAAAATACTGTTGATTCTGGTAAGCATCTATCCAAAATGATACCTTTTCCACACTTTCAGCTTCTTTAAACAGAACAAAGCCGAATCCTCTGGACCTGCCTGTCAAAGGATCCAGTTTCAAGGTGCAGTCGACCACCTCTCCAAATTTGGTGAAGTAATCTTTCAGGTCTTTCTTTGTTGTGTCCCAACTCAATCCTCCAACGAACATTTTCCTAAAAACAAAAATACATAACATTACACATTAAAGGGATAGTTTTTACCCAAAATGGACAATTTTGTCATCATTCAGGCCCGGTTTAATTTAACAACTATTGTTGAGGTTACGTGAGGACGGAAATCCACACTACCTCAAAGTTTTCGACCCATAAAAACGAAGACATTTGAAACGCTGCAGAGACTGTTTTCGATTGGAACACTGGTGCTCTGCTTCAGTTTGGACCATACCTGCCAACATTCGTCTCTGAAAATATAGGAGACCAGGGATGACTGGAGGTGGGGGCTGGAGGAGGGGGTAGCAAACTGAAGACTGGGGTCCCTGGTCAGTACTACCAAGGTCGGCAATCCGGGGACAGTACCAAAAAGCTGAGGAGCAGGTGCGGTGAAATTTCTGGAGTTTTCCGGGAGACGGAACAAACGGGAGATGGGTCTGAAATACAGGAGACTCCCGGGAGTGTTGGCAGGTATGGTGTGGACTAGGGCTAGGCAATTAATTGAATTGTAATTGCAAACTCTGTCCAGCAAAGTTCCAATTGTCATGCACATCTTCTCAAGGCAGTATGGTTAGGGAATGGGATGATATTCAGGTTCAAAGTTTGCCATGGTTTGGAAAAGCCCTGCCGTTTTAAAATCACAAAAATGTTCTGTTATACTGTTATGACATATACAACAGAGTTGGGCGATGACGACCAATTTGGCATCAATGTCTAATGTGAAACATCGCAATAGACGATGACATCATCGTCATAGGCGTTGGTGAATTAATTATTCATGAATAATTAAATAATTTATACCAAATTGATTATTTGTCGCCTACCGTTTCAACTACCTGACAGGCATGGTCCGTTTTAGCCATAACCAAATCATAAATAAATAAAAATAAGTTATGCACAAATTACCACCTGTCAATCACTTTTTCCGCAGGACTCTGACATAAATAGGCAGTGATCTGTGTTATTATAACGGCGTCGACAAACTTGATTGGTAAAATATCTGTAGTGTAAAGTATCTGAGGTGTGACAAGTACAAGCGTGAAAACGAAAGACAAAAGCAGTGTACTGACGCTGTCACACGTTCCCTGATGGATTTAAAAGACCGAAGAAATGTTAGATAGAGACCAGCTTAATTAAATATCAAGTTTAACAACCATAGTGAGATGCGATCCAGTGGGACATCCTTAATAAACTGTCCAACGTGCACTGCTTAAAGCATCCGCTGAGCTGGAGCTCAGACGAGCACACGACAGTAAATGTGTGTGTGGCCACATGATGTGTGTTTTTAGCAAGTGGTACTCGTATAGTGTGGAAGGAGGGCTGTTCAGAAATGCTAGATGAAACACCAGTGTGGACGTGGATCATTTTCGCTTCTAAAATGCCCACTAAGACGTATTAGAGTAAACGGGGCCCAAGTGTTTTTTGCGAACGGGTTTGTGAAAGGGGACGGAGGATCGCAATGCCAGCTTAGCATTTTGACATCTATTGGCCATCGACAATAGACGATGGCATAGTCTATTGACCCAACCCTAATATACAAAGAACATATTTTCGAAAGGTAATCATAATACTGTAGTATTGTAGCAAATCTCCTGAGGAAAATAGCAGTTATTGATTAAACAGAAGATTTAACTTCTTACACTGATTCGTTGATAAAAACTTAAGTCGGAATTTCAGGTGAGGCTTTTACTAAAGCCGTAGCTCATTGAGAAGCGACACAAACAGCTCTAATTACCTCAGAACCATTATCTCTATGTCATTATTGACCACTTAAATTCATATTTCAATTGTTTTTTTCCGTAGCTTATTCGTCTACTACAACTCTATGTAGTAAACGCTGCTCTTTTTAAATGCATATGCTGGAGGTTTACTAGAACTTGCTTTACTGACAAAATGCGCATGAAAACTGCCTCGATTAAAGCGCCCTGCTCTATTGTAGACGGAGCAAATTGGAGACATTAGAAAATGAAGGCATGGCTGTTGACATTCGCTCCCTGATTTGGTCTTTTGAGTCATCGCATATCCTTCCGTTATTCGTCAACCCCCTATCACATGACCATAATGCTACCAGAAGACAGATGATCATTTTCGCAGCCATTATGCAGTTAAAATCTGACTGTGTTCTAGTCCAATTTTAGACACTCACTCGCTAACTTTCCTTCACTTGTTCCCTCGGGGGAATCTCCAATGCCAGTTTAAAGTGTGTTCCACTTCATCAAGTGAACGAGGGAAGCTTACATGAACATACCCTCAAGGGGGTCGCACATTGGTTATGTCGCTCGGCTACGCGTCACTTATTTTCAAATTCTAAACATAGATTTCTATTAGGGTACGCACACCCGCGCCGCAAGTCAGTGGCTGTCCGCGGTGCCCAGCTATGACTCAGAACAATGTTCATATTTCTGCCGCACCACAGAGCGACATCTGAATAGTTTCATATTAAATATCATTCGAATGTGCGCGTCTGGTGTGCAACACTTCCAACTGTTCCCCTTGAATCCCTCGATTTTGAGTGAGGGAGCGAGTCCCCTTCATATGCCTACTATGAACCTATGTGTGCGAATGCGATGTGATTGTGACGTCACAACAGTGTAATTCTCAAGTGCTCAAGAGCATTTATTGAAACCCATTCAGATGTTCCACCAGGGGTCGACACTTGTGTAACGTAATCAATGATGCACATCCGAGGAAAAGAGGTGAAGGTAAGTTAGCGAGTGAAGGGCATAAAAATATGGACTGGAGTGCAGACTCTGTTGTTGACTATAGGACTGTGCGATTTGGGGAAATTATCTAATGGTGATTTTTTTTGACAGATATTGCAATTTCGATTTGATTTGCAATTTATTTTGCAGTCAAGCTTCAGCTCAATCTGTATCGTAGCTTCTTATTGCTAAATGCAGTGAGTGTTAATTAAAAAAAGGAACAGTATTAAATTATATTAGCAAACAACTCTGAAATTGTACTTTGCTGTTGCTAGCTACTAGATTGAGTGTCACTGGCAGTACTTTTAGTTACATTTTTAGCAAAATGCTCCTCATATCGTCACCTGTAGTACTTTTTTAGGTGCTGGTTGTTGCATTTTCTCATGCTGTGGCCACAATTCTGCGACAGCTCTTGCAAATTACCAAGTTTTGTTTGGTGTCTGTGATTTTGAAACCAATATATTCCCATATTACTGACATGCTGTTTTTCTTTAATATTAATTAGTCTATTAATGCTTCTGAAGCGGCAGATGCTATCATTCCACTCGTTCGCACTTTCCTGTTTGTTTGTTTTTTTTTATTGTGGGCTTTCTGCATAGTTCGGTTGCGCAATTCTGATTGGGCAGAATAAAAGTAAGCTCACTCAATTGGCTAGTAAGACTGTCACACACAGAAGGCAGTCATGCATTTGCTCTGGGTGGGGGAAGTTAAATTTATATTTCATATAGCAGCCTCTTGCGATTAGCTAATCGAAACGATTCAAATCACGATTGTGATTCGATTTTGATTAATCGCACAGCCCTAGTTGCCTAGTAACCACATGCTGAGTGAAGCACATACTTCCTGTTTATACTTGAACATACATTGTATGGTCACATGATGTACGTTGTTTAGTAAAGCAATATGGTGTGGACGGAGAACTTTCCAGAAACAATAAATGAATGCTATTGTGGGCTTAGATTGTTTTTGTTCTTCAAAAAAAAAAAACTTTTCCTTAAAGGAAAAGAAAAAACAATTCAAAAAAGGAAATAGTGCAAATTCCTTACCTTCCACTTGAACAGAACAAATGATATTTTGAATAAAGCTGAAAACCCCTTACTTCCATAGTATTTGTTTTTTCCCCTACTATGGAAGTCAATGGTTACAGATTTCCAACATTCTTCAAAACATCTTTTGTGTTCAACAGAAGATAAAAACTCAAAGTTTTGGATTTGGAATCTCTTGAGGCTTGAGAAAATAGTGAGAACGTTTTAATTTTGAGGTAAACTTATCTCTTTAGAGTGATTTCTATCTGATTTTAATCAGATTTCAACTCGGGAGGGATAAACTTAACACACCAAAGTAGAGTAAATAGGTTACTTCATTTCATTTATTCTAAAAATGCCTGAGAACATGATATGGATTAGCATGTTTGTCAGACAGCAAACACTGGGTTGTAATTATATGTAATGTGATGTGCAGCACTGTGACTTTTAACATGAGTAGCTCATGATAACAGTGTTTTTAGACTCATTGCACCTCGGTTCACTGTAAATAAATCCTGCTCTTCTGAATGCCGTCTTCGCGAATGCTGCATTTGAGTCTGAGTCGCTTATAGACCATTTCAATGTGGTCATGTCATTGGCCCATGAACATTTCCTGCATGTTATCAAACTATTTCATAACTGTAACAAGAGGCAATTCAATCGTAACTTGATGATAAAATAGCTGTCATAACATCATTTATCAATATGTGGCTCTTTTTGGATTCTCAAAAGCTACAGAAATAAAAAATGTAAAACAGGAAATACATTGGGACTATTGTTTTTGTTTACATCCCATAAAATGGTCTATGATGTGCATTTGAAAATGTAACCGTGATGGAGTATCTTTCCAGGCTAGTCAAGAGAATCTGTTGATTAACAGAAGCATTTCATTATTTTCTTACAAAAATTAAAACAACCATAAATATTAAATTTAATTTTCATTTTAAAAATAAATTAGCATTGCAGATTAGCAGCAAAATAATTGATGTTTATTAACTTTCCATATTGACTATTACACGTGTATACCTGTAGTTATGACCAGTCTTTATAGGAAATAATAATTATATAAACAATGACTACCTTGTAAGACTAGTCTAAGTAGTTTCTGCAACCGACCACAGGTGATTATATTTCAGTCTTGTTTTGTCATAAAGTAATTCATTTATGCATACAACACAAAAAAACACCATTCAGTTCTAAATCCGAGTTTCTCAAAATATGCTTTTGTCAAATTGACGTTTGACAAAGCTGCATTTGAAAGGCAAATGTATTTGGAAAATGAGTCAACTTGCAGCTGTCCATTAAAGCGACAGTTCACCCAAAACTGAACATTCTGTCATCATTCACTCATCCTCCACTTGAACAAACCTCAATGAGTTTTTTTTTCTTTTTCTGTTAAACACAAAAAAGGATTTTCTGAACATTTTTGGAAATCATTGACTTCCACAGTATATGTTTCCTACTATGGAAGTCAACGGCTACAGCTTGGCAACATTTTTCAAAATATCTTTTTCTGTGTTCAACTGAAAAAGGTTTGAAACCATTTGAGTGTCTTTCATTTTAGGGTGAACTATCTAATGAATATTAGGGAACACTTTACAGTGAGACGGGCAATACATCTGTTAAAGTATTTATTATTCTTTCATCAATTTACTAAATAAAAATTTAACTGATCATTGTTAATGCATGTAAATGACACAATATTACAGGGTTTCTGCCACTTTCAACAAGTTAAATTTAAGATTTTTTAAGAAGATTATGAATGAAATTTTAGAAATATACAAGGCTAAATGCTAAGGATTTTTTTTCATTTGAATATTTTTACCTTTTGTCCACTGTATTTAAATTTAATAATACAATAATAGTAATTTATTGATAAAAATATATAGGTCAGTATCCTTGGCAGTAACTTTTAAACAAATGTTACTGTAAGTTATAATAACATTATGGTATAAATGCTATTTTTAAAACGACTTTTAAAGAGATTGGGAATGTATGGCTGTTAATGGCTAGATTTGGTCGCTACACATGAACAAGGGAAAATTAAGACCTGTTAAAAAGATTTAAGACCTAAAACACGATGTTTCAGTATATTTGGACTTCTTAAAGCCTAAAATTTAGCTTTTGAGATTCAAGACAATTTTAGACGCAGCAGATACCCTGTACTAGGATATGACTAGTAAGTTATTTTTTATACAAAAGATAGAAAATATTTTAATAAACCTTCATTTACATTAAAATCACCAAATGCTTTGAAAGCATTTCAATTGATAGTCCACATTAATTACTACAAACGTATGCAAAGTGATCAATCGATACTCCGACACACATATTCATGTTATTTACACAACCGGCCACTTTTGATAACGATATTAATATTGCATAATGACCACAAATATTAATGCAATGATTATAATACTTTAAATGAATATAAAACGATTCCTTGTTGATAATTACTCATCTAATCGACTACTATTGGGAAGCGATGTGTGAACTCAAGGTTATTTTATTCTTCGGTTACAGTCTGTTCCCATGGTGCATCAGGAGCCGAAACTCACCCTTCGTCCTCCTCATTTTTACTGGCATCAATCTTGGAGCCCTCGGCTTCTCCCTGTCCTCCATTATCCCCCGACATCTGCTCTTCGCCGAAACCTTCTCCATCATCATTTTCCTCCATCTTCATCATCGGGTCTTCGCCCAGAAACTGCTCCTCCGACATCTTTGATCAACAATCGGCGAAAACACGCGCAGCTACAGTCGTTTCTACAGACGAAAACGTCTTAGGTCGTAACCGAAGCGAAATGGCTATGAATCGTGTTAATGCGGCTCAAATTCGCGTTTGTATTAGTCTGATTTCAGAATGTCGATGGCAACGGCGTCCATTCACAAAATGGCGGAGAACCGGAAGTTGAACGCGATGGCGTCATTAAGGTTACAAAATACGTCAACGTCGCTTCACGTTCATTGGCTGTAGGGCTGGAAATCTAGTTTGTTTATCCCAAACCTTTTACATGCATAATATTGAATTATTATATGTACATTACATATTTAAAAAAAAAAAAAAAACTTAGTCATAAATGTTGTATAAAATAATCACACGACAAAGAAACATTGGTTTTCTCAGAATTTTTAATCCCTTTATCCAAAAACGTCAGGAAAAGAACTAAAAATACAAAATAAAGGACACTTTTCCTAATCAAGACTTAAGAACACATCAGCACAAAACCTACAGGTTCAATCTGAACAAAGCACAGAATAAGACAAACTTGGAAACGAAACACCTCGCTATTTACAAGGTTAGACACTGGATTTGTCCCCAGAGGACCGAATAACGTTTTTAATAGTTGTTTAAGGACAGGATTCCACACAAGCTGCCTCCGAGGAGCAATGTCGAAGTCAACCTGCCCACCTACAAGAGAAGAGAGCAGAGATGAATCACCCGGTTTCCACACCTCGAGCAAAGCACGTCCATGTTTCAGTGTTTAACTTCTTGAGCTGTCGATTTTAAACTAGGAAAACCATCATTAAGGATTAAAGATCATATGTTAAACGTCTCCGATTGACAGAACAGCTCATAAGCCAGCAAAAGCCTCAGCTCCAAGCGGTTTGTGGACCAATCGAGGAGCGAGCCCAAACAGGTTAGCCTTTATCCTGTGTAAACGGTATGGTTATTAAAAACTTTAGCCAATCCTTGAACTGTTTTAAATCAGATTTCTCAGCTTTTAATGGCTTCGTAAAACTCACTTTACATATGATCTTTAAAGGCTATGCTTAAGAAAAAAGCACTGAGGTGTACCCATTTGAAGTTCTCTATGGCCTCTAAAGAAAAAGCAAGCATTATGAGAGAGTTTATGCAATTATTTACATGGGGAGGTAACCAAAAACCAAACATTACAAAGAAATAAATTAATAAATCAATCACTGAAGCTCCACAACTGAAATACAAGAGCACTACAATTGAAAAAAAGAGCATACAACAAAGCAGTTATCAATCCCTTTTAGGTTACATTAACAAAGTCCTGGAAAAAAACATTTGGAACTGTTAACGAAAACCAACAACTTAATGAAATGGGGGAAAATCTCCTTTGTCTGTTTGTTTGTTTTACGCTGGTACAGGAAGTTGGAAGAGACCATACCACAGGACAGCGCTTTCTCGTGCATGCCGTGCTCTCTGCCCGCTATGTGCGACGCCCAGAGAATGACGTGGTCAGGTGACACACGGCCTGCAATGAAGTCCCCGCTGGCAGGTACAAACAAGGTACAATAATCAGAATTAGGGAAAGAAAGGAAAAATAAGGAGAGGCGCCTTTTACTCTGTACCCTTTTAGCCGTACATTACCTGTTAGCATTGCTATCAACTTTTTCTATGTTATTCCTTTATGATCACCTGTTAAAGCAGGAGGAGAAAATGGAAAAAACCTACAGAAAAACGCTTACGCTTTTCTGGCACGCTAAAAAAAGCAAAATGGCTACACAAACAGGTGCAATTAAAGATCTATAGACATGTACTCTACTCCTTAGGCTGTTAGTTTATTGTCTATTGATCTTTAATATTGAGGTCGAGCTCAGAGCGCAGCAAGTAGGCAATCTTACCATTGTTTCGCCACTTCATCAATACGGCTGGTAGCTGTTCTGATGGTTTCCGCTGTCCCGTGAGGCCTTGCCATAGCTGCTCTGTTGACCTATAATTTAATATATACAGTGATGAGGCCCGGTGTAGCAGAAATGCAACATGTTTAAAAAATAAATAAATAAATAAAAACACAATATTATGTATATCAGTGTCTCAACCATGTTCCTGGAGGACCACCAGCTCAGCATATTTTTCATGTCTCCTCAACCAAACCCACCAGATTTAGATCATCAGCTCATTAGCAGAGACTGAAACCCATCTAATGGGTGTGACGGAGAAAGGAGACATCCATGCAGTGTTGGTGGTCCTCCAGGAATGTGGTTGAGAAACACTGATGTAAATGACAGTCAATGTGCATTAAAAACTACACATAACCGTATACATAAATATATGTTGGGACAACTACTTAGTAAAAACTAAATTTGCTAAAGGTAAATGTTAAAAGAATCACTATTCAGCACACAAAGTGAATTAAAATGCTTTCAAAAATATTTTTATTTAAAAAATATATATAATAAACTATATTATAATATTGTAAAACTGCTTTATTTCAAACAATGACCATTTAATGTAATATTATAAATCATGTTTTAAATATGTATTCATTTTAATGCCGCTTAATTTGGTTTTTTTGTCAGTGAATGAGGAGGAATGTTGAGTTTGCTATATCAGCTTTTCTGGCCATGTCATGGCAAAAAACAGATCAAGTTTACCACATTTTATAAGTATAATATTCTATAATTATAAAAATATTCTAACAATTAAAAGTCATAAACAGCAATAAACAATACACAAGATGAAATACAAAAATAATAACGAGAATATACAAATCTAAAACAGTTTAAGGTTTACTTCTGATAAAAATTGGACAATTTCAAAAGGATTCACATTTTAAAATATTTCATGTAAAGTCTCCAGATAAAAATAGTATTTTTTTTGGCAGTGTCAATTAAATGCGGAGCTACAAACTGACAAAGCTAGCTAAACATCACAAAATATCCAACCATCTGATAAAGTGTTTCATTTAGAGAGCAAACTTATGTATTATTCTACATATTCTTATATTTTTTGTGAAAAGAAAAGGCTGAAAGCCCTGGAAATTTCCTATTTTAATGTATAATATAATGTTTAATGTTAATATAAATGTTTATAAAATAAACTCCATTTAAATAAATGTACTAAATATTTTCCAATCTACCCATTTTGACATTTTTATTTAAATAAATAAATTAAATTAAATAAAAAACACTATATTATGTTTTTAAATGTTTATAAATTGACAATGTTATACCTGAACTAAGTGTAAAATAATCCCTGTACAAAATCCCTGCAATATAGTTTTTAGTTGAAAAATTACATAAACTCCCACCAAATGGGTTTTTGGCACTAACGATTAATTCAAGCCACACGGACTGCCTGAAAAAATACTGCCGATTTATTGCACTTCTTATTTTATTCAACACTTAGGAGAAAACACGTGTTGTATTACCACTGTAATCATCATAGCCTTGTCCATAGCCATAATTCTGATAGTTGTATCCTGAATAGTCATAGCCAGAATAGCCGTTGTAGCCCTGGTTGTATCCGTTGCCGTAGCCCCCGCCATAGTTCTGGCCGTAGTAGTTGTTGTACCCTTGATTAAAGCCTTGTCCTGTTCAGAAAAACAGTTTGTTGGTTTAGTTCAAGAACTTGTGGAAGCAGCAGCAGCTCTTGTCATTTCTCGAAGCGTTTACCTCTTCCACCACGGCCCCTGAAGCCTCCTCGTCCTCCTCCGAAGCCCCGGTCTCTGTTCTGCTGCTGTCTGTAGACTTCTTTAGGCTGGGCTACTTTAATTTCACACTGTGAACAAACATAAGAGCAAGATATTCACATCAACAATAACTGGTTAGAAGCCATTTATTCATTCACCCTTTCATACACAAGTTTTAAATCCTTAACTAACCATTAAGAGTTTTTTTAATGTCCCATTATTTATACCACAAGTTTCATGATGCTTTATCTTGTGACATCACAACGTGTGCTTTTCCCCCCATTTTATGCAAATATTAACAAACGTCATAATTCTATTGTGAAGCATCTGATAATACGATTCTCAAAGATGTGCAAAAACATGCATTTCATTATTTAAACTGCTTGTTAATGATCATATTCTTTGATCTATTTTGCATGATGGGCGATGCAGTGGAGAGATTAGAGCTGCTGGATCTACAACATGTTACGTATCCAACTTCTCCTAAATATATGAAAGTGGCTGGTTATCTGGGAGGAGCACATTTTATTTATTTATTTATTTATGTATGTATTTATTTGTTTGTTAATGCCTTATCAGCAGCATTGGCTATTGTCATGGCAAAACCTATACTAAATATACAATGGATAACATACAATCACATCAGTTTCTAAACAAACATTCATTGTACAAAAAAAAAAAAAAAAAAAAACAGCAACAACACCGAGAAGAGTCATGTACAATTTTTTTAGTTTGATTAATAATAAATATTCTAAAAATCCTCCAGAAGATGAAGCCTTATTTCCAACATTTCCTTTAAAATATTTCCTGAATAAATACGTTCTCTAATATCATTTAAAAAATGCACGTTCTATTAAAATATGTTCTATCGTCAAAATATTTGTACACATCACATATAGTTTTTTGTCTCTTTTCAATAAATATTGGCATGTTAGTCTTGAGTGTCTGATTCTACATCTCATAAGTACAACCAAAGACTTTAGAATACACAAGACATGTGACTTGTATACTTTTGAATGGGGAAAAGTGTAACTGTCAATCATGGCGAATAAAACCCCGCCTTCTAGTACAGGAGCCAATCAGCGATCGCTATATGGTGACTAAAGCCCACCTTCTAGTACAGGAGCCAATCAGAGACCGCTACCATCATCATACAGCAACATTGTAAAAATAACTATATGAACTCTTACTTTACTAAATTTTTACTTTTTTATTTTTATTTTACAGGGTTCAACGCTAAGGATTTTTTCTACTGGCCCGATTGGGCCAGCGGTTCAGATTTTTACTTGCCCTGCGAATATTTTCACTGGCCCCAACAAAAAAAAGTTAAGTTAATAGATATTTCTTAGCCACGTTTTTAATATTGTGTCAAAAATGTGTTTTGAATCTAGAATTTTCATAATTTAAAATGTTTAAAAATGTATAATGAGCATATCTTCGCATTGTACCCACGTAAATGTCTGCTTCCAAGACATTCTTTTAGCCTCATAAATTCATTTCGCTGTACTGGTTTTTACCAGGTTACAAAAAAAACGACATGCTCACAACATCCAATCAGATAGAAGGAACCGAAAAGCAACATGGTGTTTACGACATCACTGAGAAGGCAGCATTTAAAGGCTTAAAAGCACAAACTGTTTCTCGATTCTAAGACTGTATTCATATGCAATTGACAAATAGTTCGCAGACAAATTGAACTCTTGTGACAAGGCACTACGAATCGGGCCAGTAACAATTCTGTCGACTGTCCAGAGCGCCTTGCACGCTGGCCCCGGGCCACCAGGCAGTCCTTATTGTTGAGCCCTGAATTTTATTTACTAAACTGATTTGATGCATCATATTTTTGTCATCAACATACCTTCCCTGATCCGATTTGATGGTATCTGTTCTCCAGCAGTTTCTGAACAGGCTCTTCTAAAGCGAATGTCACAAAGCAGAATCCCCGTCGCTCATTCGTCTTGGTGTCTGTGGGAAGCTCGATGCTTTCAATCTTTTGAGAGAAAAAAAATACAGATTGGATTAAAAGTACCAGTTTGTGGCCCCTACTTCCAAAAAATATACATTCCTTTCCTTTTTATGTTGAATATTAGCTCTCGTACAGATTTGAATTCAAGTCACTCACTTCCCCATAAACTCCGAAGTATTCCCGGAGCTGTTCTTCAGTAATGTCTGGACTGAGACCACCAACGAAAACCTTCTTAGGGGGTTCCTTGCCCTTGATGGCTTTGGCTCTCTTGGGATCAATTAATTTACCATCCAGCTTGTGCTCCGTCAACTCCAACACCTAAAAACAACCCATCAAGAAACAGCTATGAGCAAACTTTTGTTCATATATTTGCATCATACACAATGACTGACAAGGGCTCGCATACCCGGTCCACGCTCTCAGCATCTTTGAAGAGCACGAATCCAAAGCCCCTGGAGCGGCCGGTCAATGGGTCTGTTTTGATGGTGCAGTCGAGGACCTCTCCAAACCTGGACAGGTAATCAGTGAGGTCTTTCTTGCTGGTGTCCCAACTGAGTCCACCAATGAACATTTTCCTACACCAAAACAAACAAGATTCAAATCACCTCACTGAATTAACAATGCATTATCATCTGCTGCAACATAATAAACCGGTTTTATTTTTAAGCTCAGTACTTTCACTTAAATACAAATTATAAACCTTTGAATTAAAAAATATGTATATATTTACTAGAAGAACTAAATCTGACAGATGCTTTAGGCTTCCCAAACTACAATTATTAAAAATTACTTCTTAAAATAATCTATGCAGTTATATTAGTGACTAAAAGTTTTGTAAAATATATATTTACCCTTTTCATACATAAAAAAACACTAAAGCCATGTTGGTAATTGTTATGCAAGTATCACAGTGTGTAAAATGTTTTATAATATTATTATTATTCATTAAAATAAATATTAAATGCAAGTAAAATGTGATATAGTGTTTGAAAGGACCTCAGAATGGCATCGTTTTGTTGTTTAGAATGAAATCAATATGCGAGTTTGGACTTTCGAAGAATTATGAGTAGGCCCACACGAAATCTGCGCGTTAATTTTTTAAGCCCATCATTAAGTATATTTATTTATTTGTATAAACATGTGTAAATTTATATTTATTCTGTTTTTAAATTAATTTCAGGGATATTAAATTAATTTCAGGGATATTATTAACTAATTTAAAAATGTGCAATTGATTTATTTACGATACAGTTTATAAAATAATATTTTCTGTCTTTAGTTGATATATTATACAAGAGGCTTGCTTTGTTTACCAAATAAGTGGATCTGATTGGATTTGCATTGTAAACATTAAATAAAAGTTAAAAAGGTACTACTTTTAATTTAATATATTAAGTTTTTTTTTTAGTTATGATACTCCCAAAACCATTATGCATATTAAATCTGCAGATTTTTTTTTACAAATTATCTCAAGAAATAGCAAAAAGGCCTGCAGATTCTGTCTGGCCCTTCAATTATAAACTCAGTCACAGCTATTTGATTAAATTCAATTGCGTTTAGTATTAGTAATTCTCAGAATAAATGTTATTATATTTCATAAATGTATAACATTCGAGTACAATCGTGAATTTATAGCTTAATTACGATTCGTACGTAATCTGATATCCCAAAGAAGTACAATTTAGTAGGTATTAATGATGAATTTGAAAATTTATATTAATAATTAGCATGATAAAAACACAGTAACGTTAAACGTTACCCTTTTCCCTCCCACAAATTTCCAAAGGTATTAAATAACTTATATTACATTCATTTCAAATTAAATGCATGTTTTATGACATAACTATTCTTCCGATGCGTATGTTATAGCAATTTTGAAAGCGTTATAAACGTTAATAATATTACGCACAAACTGGACGCCAAGCCATTAAGTTAGATGCTAATCTGCAAACGGGTACGTAATGAACAACAAGATTCCAGGCGTCTTTAAGCTTTATGTTGTGCATATTAATAACGTAGACATTTTAAAAACGTATTCCATTTGAATTAACGTTAGTCGTTTAAACATGAAGCAGACCGCCGTCTGCCTGCACTAGTGTCTCTTAGCGGGGTGTCGCAGGCAGGCCGCTCTCCGGGACTCACCCGTCATCCTCCTGGTTTTTACTCGCGTTTATTTTGGAGCCTTCGGGAAACTCATCGGTGCTAAAGTCACCTTGCTCTTCGGCCTGCATTTTGAAGTATGTGTAGTTATTTTGATCCGCCGCGAGATATATATTATAGATTATATTACGCCGGTTTTAAAAGGTCAAACACTTCAACACGAATAAAGTGCCGCGTTGATTAAAATGGCGGACGGACGGAGATCAGTGACGAAATCCGTCTGCACGAGAAAGAGAGGCAGTGGGCGGAGCTTATGCAAATACATTTATTTGTTTATTTACTTTTGTGTTTATTTACGTTTCATTCAATTATATTACCTAGTGACAACATTAGACAGTTTATAAAATTATCGTGTTCCTTGTCACATCCTCCTTTGCTCTAGTTTGATAGTGAAAAATGTCATTTCTTACAATATTATTTTAAACTATTGCATTAAATACACTGATTTGTAGTTCAAACTGGCTTGGTTTGGTCGCCCTGCCCCATAGACGACGCAAAAATGAAAGTTGGAAACAAAACAGAGGAAAATAATTCATAATGAAACTATGAAAATGTACTCATATGAACAAGACCCGTATAGATTATTTAATATTTTATGCAAACACAGCATAGGCATATATTTGTACAAAAAAAACATAAATAACAATAGCATGAAAATTAAAAAATATATTAAAGGAGCGACATAAATACATATATTTTTTAAAAGATAAACCACAGGCATCCACAATACTAATACAAATGCTTACAAATATGTATAATGATGTATTATAATGTGTAATAATCATAATAAGATTTTAAATCCACTTTAATGCACTTCTAGAAGATTTTGTTTTATAATAGCTACAAATATAAATTATTTTATTTATATTAAAATATCTTGTACGTACAATTAGACATTGATAAAATTAAAAATTGTGCAAATTACACAAAATAACGTCTGCCCGAACACTATGCAGGTGCTACTGTGTTTTTTCAAAACAATTTTGATATTCAGAATACACAAATTAATAAACTTTATGCGATAGGTAAACAATTTTACAGTTATTTTTAGCTTATTTACTTCCTCACCCATCCCAGCAGCAGGGTTGCCAGATGGAAAACAAAAATAAAATCTAATACGGGCTACATGTCGTAATTCTAAACAACAGATAGATTTAATAACTGGAAACAGCAGATAGATGCTAAAATGGTAATTGTGTATTGTTTTCTGAAATCTATTATTATTATCATTATCATTATTATTATTATTATCAATTTCTGTTAATTATTGAGTTGTAGTCCACTATGTTAAATATAAATATAAAATTTACATGCATATATTCACGATTAAAAATCAAATGTATTGCAAATAAAACGCATAATTACCTAAAATCTATGCTGACATGATGACAGAGGGTGGAGACTTTTCTGCGCAGAACCTGGCAACCCTAACCGCTCCATGTGTTAGCTCGCCGCTAGCCTGCGTGCTATTATTGATTGATTTGTCAAAATCTGAGCCTCGCATCCGACAGAATCGAACAAAACACGAGACTTTAACACACATATACATCGTTTGCCATTGATAAAAAATGGCAGCGATTGCAATACCAGAAAACACCAGAGTCTTTCTTCTGGACATTGAAGGAACTACGACGCCCATTACGTTTGTCAAGGTAAGAACCAACAATAATAGTCAATTATGAATACGATTAAGATGTTCAGACCTGTCTCATGGATCATTTTGCTATTCATTGCCTGCAGGACATCTTATTTCCCTACATCAGAGAAAATCTGGAGGACTATCTGTCAGCACATTGGGAAGAGGATGAATGCAAACAAGACGTACATCTGCTCAAGAAACAGGTAAACACCTATCAAAACACACACCTTTTGTGGCGTTTCTTATCTCGTTGTCATATTTCAGAAGGTGTTTGTGTTCTTTTATATTTAATTAATTTGTTTAAATATAAATCTTATAGCAAACAAATTGTGAAATATAGTGTTTTCTTTTTCTATTCTTCTCTAACGTTAAAGGAATAGTTCACCCCTTAAATAAATCCAGTCATTGTTTACTTGCCTTAAGTTGTTATAACCTGTATGAATTTCTTCAAATATTTTTTAGGAGAATGTGAATAATCAGGGTTCAATGCTAAGACAATTTAGATTTTTACTTGCCCTTCCAAAATTTTCACTGGCCCCACCAAAATAAATAGATAAATAATAGCCACATATTTTAATGAATGTGTCAAAAATCATGTCTGTGAATCTAGAATTTAAATATTTTTAAAATGTTAAAATATTTAGCAGCAATATGGAAAATGTGCAGGTGTTTTATTGCAAAACAAAAGGTGGCGGACTTAAAAAACGTAAAAAAAAAAAACTATGCAAAACATCACTTCATTTTTTTCATCGTGTTGTACCAACGTAATTTTATGGCTATTCATAACTTTTTGATTTAGTCGCTATTTTGTATAAATTCGTACAATCTAATTCGTACTATTTAGTATGATTTGCTCATCACCCAATGACGGTTGGGGTTAGGGGTGGGGTTAGGTGCCATGCCTCTTTTTTAAAATTGTACATTTTCGTAATACTCAACTCGTACGAATTAGCCACTAAACTGACAAAACGTATAATACTTGCATTTCCTCGTGAGATCAGGCTGGTTGTACCCATGTAAATATCTGTTTTCACAACGTTTTAATAACTTCTTTCAAATAACTGATTTATTTTATCTTTGCCATGATGACAGTAAATAATATTTGACTAGATATTTCCCAAGACACTTCTATACAGCTTAAAGAGACATTTAAAGGCTTAACTAAGTTAATTAGGTTAACTAGGCAGGTTAGGGTAATTAGGAAAGTTATTGTATAACGATAATCTGTAGACTATTGAAAAAAAATAGCTTAAAAGGTCCAATAATATTGACCTTAAAATGTTTTTTGAAAAAAAATTCAAAACTACTTTTATTCTAGCCGAAATAAAATAAATAAGACTTTCTCCAAAAGAAAAAGTATGATCAGACATACTGTGAAAATTTCCTTGCTCTGTTAAACATAATTTGTATATAATTTAAATAAAAATATATAACTTTTTTATTGTTATTAATATTAATTATTTTATAATAATATAATAATAATAATTTAGTTAATAGTTTTTTTTTTTGAAGATGATGACATTAAAAATAAACTTTTATTCCTAATACTTTCCCAGAGATGGGTTGCGTCTGGAAGGGCATCCGCTGCGTAAAAACTTGCTGGATAAGTTGGCGGTTCATTCCGCTGTGGCGACCCCGGATTAATAAAGGGACTAAGCCGACAAGAAAATTAATACTGATATAGCTACTGATATATTTTGCATCTTTAAAGAAAATCTCTGAAACAGTTTACAGGTATCGAAGGGTGTCATCGCTTTCCACTTTTAAATCGAAAGTCAAAACACATCTTTTTAATGTGGGAGTCTATAAGAGATTATTTTATTGATGTATTCTTAGCATAATGTACTTAATGTTTTCTGTATCTAAGCCATTTATACAGCACTTTTGTCAACCTTGGGTTGTTTTTAAATGTGCGTTATAAATAGAGAACTGAGTGAATCATTTGTTTGGAACTGTGGCTCCCAGTTAACTATAATCCTATTGAAACTTTTCACAAGATGGTCCTGATGCATTTAACTAGGCATGGGTCAGTATAAGGGTCTGACAGTATGATAACAATGGATAAAAATATCACGGTTTCATGGTATTGTGATTACTACTTTAAAGTACTTTTTTAAATGTCTGGGTAAAACAAACAACTTCTGTTTCTCATTGAACACAATACTGCAATGTTTTGGTCCATAGTGTACTTGCCATAGATGTAGGTCTAGTCTGACCAGTACCTTTTGATGTGGTCTTTTGCTGCTGAAGATTCTGTTGCCATAAATAAATTAAAGTTGTCTTTGACAACATGTAAAAAATAATAATAATCTTACATATACCCTAGGAAGGGTATACAAAATTTTAGCTCTTTTTAAAACAGACTTTTCCAGACTGCGGTAAACCTTGGAATCGGTTATCGTCCCATACCTGCATTTAACGGCACATTTAACAGCATCTTAAGTTCTTGGAAGTTTTTAATATTTTGTACTTTGTATTATATAATCTTTGCATTAATTTACCAAAAAGGACATACTGCTTATGCGAAGTCTGGGCTGAACAGTAAATTTGACATGATTTTCTGTCTTCTGGCTGCCGTTATCAGTACATAAACAATTTGTTTTCCTTTTTCTGAAAGTCTTAACTCTATTCTTGAGTAATTCTTTTATTATTTGAGCGAATAGGAATGAAAAGAAACTCCCATTCGCTGCACTTTAACTATGATGACTGAGAAACCTGGATATATATAAAGGGTCTGTTGCAGATTCTTATATTGCAATGCTGAAATCATAATTTGTGCAGCCCTAGACTGAAGGTGTGATGACAAACTTTAATGAACACTACAGTCCACTTACTTACACCTCAAACACATGTTGTTGTTTTTTTAGACAGAAGAAGACTTGCGGCAAAATAAGGCGTGTCATGTTCACACGGTGGACCAGACTGTGCACACGGATGAGGAGAAGGCCATCCGTGAGGTTGTGGAGAACGTGCTCTGGCAGATGGCAGCTGACAGGAAAACCACTGCGCTCAAACAGCTGCAAGGCCACATGTGGAGAGCAGCCTATATGATGGGGAGAATCAAAGGCGAGTAAGTAACCACATCTTACCACAGTGTACTCAGCCCATATCTGTGTCAGCCATTGCCGGACCTGGAGCGTAAATGTTTTAATAAATACACTTCCTTCACTTGATGGAGGTATAATGAATCCAGAGGTCTGTTGCACAAAGCCAGTTTGTTTTTCTTCATTTTTAAGGTAAGTTCAGGTTAGGTTTAAGCAAATTCAGAGTTTTCAGGTTTCTTCGATAGGGTGACGCCCCTTTTACACAGGGCGTCAGCTTCAACGCTTCCCATTCACTTTGAATGGGGGACGTCAGGCTTTGCCAAACTGCATTGTGGATCCGTAGGCGCCGCTTCAGTGGCGATGCTCGCTGGAAAAAATGGGCTCAACTTCTTAAGCGCCGATGAAAGCGTCAGCCAATCAGTATGCAAATACACCAGCTCTTCAGTAGCCGATTACTGATTAATTTCATTGGCTGATGCTGCTATGACGATTGCATCAGCCCCAACTTCAAACACACTATTTGTC